TATTTCCAGTCCTTAAACCCTAACCCCTCGTCCATAAAATCTCGTCCCTATAAGCCCTTTAAATCGGTCAGGTCTTGGCCCTCTTTCAAAAGGTCGGCTATATCCCGGAGTCTGGGAAAGAGAGCGAGACTGCTGGGACGAACTTGAAGACTTTGCTTGGTTTTGCGGTTCGCAGGGAACAGGATGCGCATCGCAGGGGACAGACGCCACGAGATCATAGATGAAATTTAGAAGCTACCTATTGCTTATCGTTTAAACCGGCAGCATGAAGTAACATCATTTTCCACACGTATTGTTTTATGGTTTATAATTCAGGACAAAAACATCAGGAAAATGTTCAACATGATCCGCAAGCTGAAGAAGGGGGAAGTCGTCCGGAAGCCTTTTGTTGGTGAAGAGTCCGAGGATACAGAGGACAACGCAGAGGAGCAGGAGGAAGAGGAGGAGGAGGAAGAGGACGAAATGGAGGAGAACGGGGCTTCGGAAAAGGCATGTGCAAAGGGAACGGAAGGCGATGAAGCTGATGACACGACAAAGGAAGGAGGAGAGGAAGAGAAGAAAACCAATGATCCAATAGTGGAGCCATCCCCAGCAAAGAAGCCGGCAACCGCCTCTGCAGCACCTAAAAAGCAGCCGAAACTGATCCCATTGCCGGCCCCACCAGCACCAGGAAGGAACAAAGGAAAAGCGTCCACCCCAGAGCCGGAGAATAGCTTCCCGGAGATTGCCCCCCATCCCGATGCTGCTGGGTCCGGCCGATCTCAAGCGCAGAAGGAGTTGGATGACGCAACGGCCGAGATTCGAAGACTCGAAAATGAGCTTGGTGTGCACCTTGTGATTTTCAGCAACAATTATTACGTTTGAAAGCGTTAAAGCTACAACTGTTATAATATGTATTTCCTGCTGCCGATTTAAACGGTATCTATTAATTCTATCCAGCACAGGCTACCAGAAACGGATCTTGCTGAGCTTACAGGATTCTTTGATGCACATGGTCGTGCCAATTTTTGGAAAGGTTAAGGATTGAAAGATTGCTCTAGTAATATTCGCTATTCATTTCTCAGGAGACATGCCGAAACCGGCCCCCTTAGTCTTGCAAGTGGACGAGAGCCCGGTGAAGAAACCAGTGCCGACGGTCCATGTTGATGTGCCTCGGTGGGTGTAAGCAGGTATGCACACGTACACGCATGTATGTGTGCATGTATGTGTGTTTTGTATACATATATATACACACACTGCATGTGCATGCATGCATGGATGTGCATGTATGTGTATATGTATGTATATGTGTGTATGTATGCATGTATCTGTATGTATGTATGCATACACATACATATGCGTATATATGTGTTTTATGATTTGCAGCCTGTATAATCTGTTCGTTCTCCTGTTTAGGAAAGCGAGAGAAAATGCATAACATGCCTAAATAATATACATATTATATTGGCATGTAGATGCACATGCAGACATGTACCTATATGTCTTATGTTATAGGAATATATATATATATAT